AATTGTGCTCAAGAGGAACCTGTACATAGACCAAAAGACAGTTGTTCAAACAGAACAAAGGGATTCTGAATGGTTTAAAATCAGGATTTTAAAATGTGTACCAGGGTTGTGTCCTTTCACCATAATTATTCAATCTGTGTAGTAAACAAATAATCTGAAAAGCTGAATTATTATGAAGAAGTTGGCATCAGAATTGGAGGAAGATTCACTAACAGTTTTTGATATGCAGATGACATAACCTTGTTACTGGAAACAAAGAGGACTTGAAATACTGATGAAGATCAAAGAGTACAGTATGGATTGTACCTCAATGTAAAATCCTCACAATTGGCCAAATAAATAGCATCATGATAAATGGAGAGAAGGGTGAAGTTGTCCAAGACTTCATTTTGATTGGATCCACAATTAACCTTCATGGAAGCAACAATCAAGAAATCAAGCCACGTTATACAAGAAGCCCTGGTACCATAGTGGGTTACAACGTGAACTACTAACTGAAAGGTCAACAGTTCGAATCTATGAGCCACTATGCTGAAGAAAAATGAGGCTTCCTGCTCTAATAAATGTTTACCGTTCCGGCAATCCTATACAGGGTTGCTATGAGTCTGAACTGACTTGACACCACACCACTACTACCACCATCACATTATGCAAATCTGCTCCAAAAGATGTCTTTAAAGTGTTCAAGCATAAAATTGTCAATTTGAGGACTAAGATGTGACTTGACTGACACAATCTCTGGTATTTTCCATCGCTTCATATACATGTGAAATTTGGACAATGAATAGAAGTACAGTAGAACAATGGATACCTTTGAGGTAGCATATTAACAAAGAATACTGAAAGTACCATGGGCTTGTCAGAAGAGCCAACAAAACTGTTGAGGAAGAAGTACAGCCACCATGTTCCTTGGAAGTGAGGATGGGGATACTTTGTCTTTTGTACTTTGGATGTCAGGAGGGGCCAGTCCCTGAGAAGGACATCATGTTTGGGAAAGTAGAGGATCGGTGAAAAAGAGGGTAATCCCAAATAAGATGTGTTGGCGATGTGGCAGCAACAATGGGCTCAAATATACCAACAGTTGTGAGGACAGCGCTGGGTTACTATGAATTGGACCAGACTTGATGGCATCTAACAACAATAACAACAACAAGTGGTATACATCTGCCTTTGTTCTGCCCTTTATGGACTTAAGTATGAGCAGACATGGCCACACGAAGCAGCTGGTGCAGCTCAGAGATGCTCCTTCTTTGTTGAATCCAAGCTTTATCTATTAGAATGCAAGGAATTAATTTATGCCCCAATCTCCAAAGCCTCAGATACTTAATTCATCTTCTAAAATTACTTTTTTCATGCTTCCAGAAGTACAGTGGAACTTCTATGAAATGAATTTTTCACTTGTAAAACACTGAACTGAACAATTAATGAGGAAAACTGAAGAAATATTGATGCCTTTGAATTATGGTGTTGACAGAGAATATTAAATATACCATGGACTGCCAGAAAAAGGAAGAGATCTGCGTTGGAAGAAGTGCAGCCAGAATACTTCTTAGAAGTGAGAATGGTGAGACTTCATCTCATATACTTGGGATCCGTTATCTGGAAGGACCAGTTCATGGAGAATGGTATCATACTTGGTAGAGGGTCAGCAAAAATGAGGCAGACTCTCAGTAAAATGAATGAACACAGTGGCTCTAATAATGAACTTAAACATAACAACAATTGTGAGGAAGGCCCAGGACAAGGTAGTGTTTTGTTCTGTTGTATATTGGGTTGCTGTGAGTTGGAACTTACTCAATGGCACTTATAACAACAACTAAACTTGTTAACAGGCAATGAGTGGAACTGCTAAGGGAACTATTGATTGCAGTACATAGGATGAGGCAGATTTCTTGGCACCCACAAAAATACAAAACATTGGTTACAAATATTGAGCTATGAGCACACTCAAAAGTCTCAAAGATGGAAATCTTGGAGCAGACTGCCACCTTCAGGATAACTTCCCAACAACTCTACCAGAGAACACAGGTTTTAGCCTCTACTAAATACCAAACACTAATTAATCCCAGCAAAAATGTTTCAAAATAATCAACAGCAGAAACTATGTTCCTTGTGGTGGGTTCATTGGGATTAACCATTATATTTAACAACTATATTAATTTTCCTCAGATAAAATTGCTCCTTTTTTTCCACTATCTTTACTTCATTTTTTCCCCCTTGATTCTAATTGGCTAAAAAATAATCTTCTTAATTTACTATGCAGAACTGAGAACACGAAAACACTAAAAATGTGACCACCGCCATTTCTGAAAAATAGTGTAACTTTGGAAATCTGTTTCCTTCGCTGTCACCCATTCAGAAATGGTGGAAGGAAGTGTGTGTGTGTATGGGGTGGGGGTTGAGGATGTAATACAGCAACACTCATTATTTTCCACTGTCTTATTGCCTGCTCCTTATGTTGAGCTACATGGAGGTCTCTGCTGATTTAAAAAAAAAAAGACTAGAGAATGATGCAGTAACTCAGCACTTAATAGTATAGAGAAGGACTTCATGCTTGGTAAAGTGGAAGGTCAGCAAAAAAAAGAGGAAGACCCCCAAACCTGATGGATTGGCACAATGGCAGCGATGAGATCAAGCGTAGAATAGGGCTGGGCAGTGTTTCAGTCTGTTGTGCATAAGGTTTCTATGAGTTGGTACCTATTTGACAGCACCTAACAACAACAAAAAGCACAGCCTTCGATATGGATTGCATTTCAATGTCAAGAAAACAAAATCCTCACCACTGGACCAATAAACAACGTTCTTATCAATGGAGAAAAGATTGAAGTTGTCAAGGACTTCATTCTTCTTGGATCAACTATCAACACTCGCGGAAGTAGCAGTCAAGAGATCAGACGACGTATTGCACTGGGCAAATCTGCTGCACAGGAACTTTTTAAAGTATTGAAGAACAGAGATGTCAACTTGAGGACTAAGGTGCGCCTGACCCAGGCCATTGTGTTTTCAATAGCCTCATATGGATGCGAAAGCTGGACAGTGAATAAGGAAGATCGTAGAAGAATTGATGCCTTTGAGTTGTGGTGTTGGAGGAGAATACTGAAAGTGCCATGGACTGCCAAAAGAACCAATAGATCTGTTTTGGAAGAAGTGCAGCCAGAGTGCTCCTTGGAGGCCAGGATGGCTAAGCTTTGTCTCTCCTACTTTGGACATATTGTCCGGAGGAAACAATCGTTGGAGAAGGATGTCATGCTGGGTAAGATGGAGGGTCAGAGAAAAAGAGGAAGACCTCTAACGAGATGGATTGGCCAGGTGGCATCATTGATGGACTCAAGTGTGGCAGCGGTAGTGAGGTTGGCCCAGGATCGGACATTGTTTCGTTCTGCTGTGCACGGGGTCGCTATGAGTCGGTTCCCCGACTCGATGGCACCTGACAACAACAACAACAACAACAACAACAACAACAAAGCCCTCTGGTAGCGTAGTGGTTATGAATCGAGCTGCTAACGTCAGGGTCAGCAGTTCGAAACTACCAGCTGTTCCACGGGAGAAAGATGAGGCTTTCTGCTCCCGTAAAGATGTACAGCCCTGGAAACCCTGTACAGGGTTGCTATGAGTTGGAACCAACTCCACGGCACATAACAACAACAACACTACTACTTTATGAAGAATGATGTCCTTTTCCAGCGACTGGTCCCTCCTGACAACATGTCCAAAGTATGAGAGATGAAGACTCACCATCCTCTTATCTAAGGAGCAATCTGCTTGTACTTCCGTACTGCTTGGATGAGACACATTTGCTCCTTCTTTTGGAAGCCCATTGTATTTTTCATATTCTTTTACAATACCATAATTTGAAGGCATCAATTCTTTGGTCTTCCAACTTTTGCATGCATATGAGGGGACTGAAAATAATCATGACTTTTGTTAGGCGCATCTTCACCCTTAAAGTGATATCTTTGCTTTTTTACACTTTGTAGAGGTCTTTTTTTTTCCCCTCCAATACATCTTGTTTGATTTCTTGACTGCTATGTCTATGGATATTGATTGTGGATCCTCGTAAAATGAAATTCTTGACAACTTGTTTTCTGTTTATTGTGAAGTTGGTTATTGATCCAGTTTAGTGAAAACATTTCCTTATATTGAGGCATAATCCATACCGAAGCCTGTAATCTTTGATCTTCTTGAAGTAAGTACTTCCCGTTGTCTTTACTTTCAAAATGCAAGGTTGTGTCACCTGTATATTATAGGTTGCTAGTGAGCTGCCAAATCATTCTTCATATAATGCACCTTCTCAGATTTATTTGCTCAGCATCCTCAGATTGAATAAATATGGAGAAAGGATACAACCCTGGCCATACACCTTTTCCAATTTCAAACGTTCTGTTCCAATAGCTGCCTCTTGTCTAGAACAGGTTTTGCATGAGCACAGTGAAGTGTTCTGGACTAGATCCCCGATCTTCGGATGTTATCCATAATTTGTTATGATCCACATAAAAGAATGCCTTTACAAGTGAATAAAACACAGAAAAACATATTTTTGGGTTAATAACTACCTGACCTGTGAAACAACTTCAAGGTCAGTTTTCCTAAGGTTTTCATTTTCAGTTCTGACTCTAGTTTGGAATCACGTGGGAAACTTAAAAATTTGCTAACGCTTGACTCTATACTGATGAAATCTGACTGTTGAGATAGGGCTGGGAATGGAATTGGTTTAAAGCTCCTAGGTGACTCCACTAGACTTAAAACGTTGGTGGGTCTAGAAACGGCCCCTAACGTGAGGAGATCAAAAAGTGCTGCTGCCTCTGATTAGTTCCAGAAGGAGCTTGTGGCCTCCTAACCGCTAGGGGGCAGCGGATGTATGTTTAGTACTTTCTTCCCTACGCTTGGCCTGGCCAGTCCCAGGGCGGCCGGTCGCGCATGCTCAGTGCGACCCGGAGGCTGCCTAGCTTTGGTGATTTCCCACGTGCAGCGTGAACCTGAGGGCATCATGCAGTAAGGAGATGGGGGCATCCGTGGCTCGCGCGATCAGGAACTTCAATCTAGAGAACCGTGCGGAACGGGAAATCAGCAAGATGAAGCCCTCTCTCGCTCCCAAGCACCCCTCCACCCAGAACCTACTTCGAGAGGAAATGAGCCGTGAGTGATGCGGGGGGCCTGCGGGTTCCCTGAGCGGACGGGCGGGGCGGCCCCCCCGCTATCGTGGTCCCGCCCGGAGGCCGGGTGACCTGGCTCAGCCGCCCGCGGACCGGGCGTGCTGGACGCAGGGAAGGAGGAGCCACTGGTTCGGTGACATTGAGACTGTCCCTTCTGCACCTGCGGTTGAATCCCTTAGCAACTTGAATCAGAATCGGAAGGCGTTGTGCAGCGGAAGTGAATGAGCGCATTCATTAAGATATAAAGACCTTTTTAATTGTCCTAATGAACTGGAGCCTGACCTAATACTTAAATTTACATATAAAATCCCTGTGATACAACAACAGTCCAAATAATGGACTTCTGATGTGGCGCTGTAACTTAAGCACTGGACTGGGAACCACAAGGTCAGCGGTTCAGACCCACCATCCGATCCTCAGAAACCCTGCACAGGGTCCCTATGAGTTGGAATTGACTTGATGACACTTAATAACAACATTCAAATAATGACGTTTATTTTAAAAAGCAATTTAAAAGTGGCTGTCTTGTGCTTAGGGTCTTAGAGGAAATTTTTTGTTTTAATACTGTGGTGATCTTATTTTTATTTTTAATTTTTTTTCTCTTTAGGCCATCCAGAAATTAAGGGGAAAATTGCTAGAAAAGATGACAAGCTGCTGTCATTATTAAAAAGTGTTTATGTTGATTCCAAAGATCCTGTGCCTTCTATGCAGGTAATGTATGTTTTAATTAAGTAAATAAATACTTTAACTTACCTGAGCTCAATGGAAAATCACTTATTACTTGCTCTTTGGAAATGCTTATCAGTTTTCAAGAGCAATGTGGCAGGTGGCAAAAGAGTAAGCACTCTGCAGGTGTGATAGTGCAGATGGCAGTGTAATTGTGATGGAAGAAATATGCATTGGCACAATGGCTTGGTTCATTGGGTAACTCTGAACTCCTAAGACTTGTAAAAGTAATTATTGAATGTCAGTTGTTACATACTTGATGTTACATCAGAATTTATGTGATTTGGTAAGGCATTTCTGTTGTGTGCCATTGAGTCATTTCTGACTTAACAGCGATCCTGTATAGAGTTTTGAGGTTGGCTGGTGAGTTTGAACCATCAACCTTGCGGTTCTCAGTCTAGTCTTATCCTACGGCGCCATACCGGAGCTCAGAGCACTTCTAGTGGTTATCCTTTGAACGACTATAAAGTTTTACCTTAATATTCATTTCTCATCATCCTTTGAATAGAATTGTGTTCTAATTTCAGGGATTTCTTTAGTATTTTTATTTTAATTATAGAAAATATCCAAAAGAATGTATCAAATGAATAATACTTTGAGAATAAGGATCTATATGTAAGTTTATATATATGAAAGTATTGGGAGGTAATGCCATGTACAGAGCAGACCAAATCTCCTTGTTTCATAGTGCTTATAGTGTTGTGAGGAACATAGAGGAGCAATTGGTAAGTACATAATTACTGATGTTTCTGTGAAGAAGTATAAGTGTTGTCAGAGTATACCAGAGGAACCTAGTTTAGACTGAAGGACCTTTAGATTGTTTCTGAGAAAATGACATTTAAAGTCACACATGAAGGATGAGTTGACGTTAAACAGATGCGTGTGTAGGGGGCCAGATAGTTCAAAGTAGTAGAAACAGTTTCATCAGGAAAGAGCCAAAGTTGACTCCCAGATTTTTTTCATTCTAAAATTTTGTCTCTCTCTCTAGATAAGTGATAGACTTAATTATTTTCACAGGTATGATTATTAGTTTAATTTTAACTAGAGAGGTGATGAGAAATTTACATGCAAATCATGCAGATGTAAATCATGCAGATAGTAACAATGAAAGGTTTCATTTGCCACCAAAATGCACATGCAAAAGGAGACAAAGTGATATGGCTGTAGTCTTTGTTATTTGTAGATTGCTGTTGTTGTGTGCCCTTGAGTTGATTCCATCTCATAGTGACCTTGTATGGGGTTTCCAAGAGTGACTGGTGAGTTTGAACTGCTGAACTTGTGGTTAGCAGTCCAGTGCTTATCCTGCAGTGCCACACCAGGATTCATTTATAGATTAGTGTTTCACTAATACGTCTAAAGAGTCCTTGTGTGGCACTGTAGAATAAGCACTGGACTGGGAAACATGAAGTCGTAGGTTTGAACCCATCATCTGCTCTATAGAAAAAAGGTGAGACTTTGTACTCCTGCAAAGATTAAAAACCTCGGAAATTCTACATAGGTTCGCTGTGAGTCAGAGTTGACTTAATGGCACTTAACAGCAACAACAAAGGAGCTCTGGGAGTGTAGTGGTTACGAGCTGCAAGGTCAGCAGTTCGAAACTACCAGCTGTTCCGTGGGAGAAAGATCAGGCTTTCTGCTCCCGTAAAGATTTATAGCCTTGGAAACCCTGTACAGGGTCACTATGAGTCGGAACCGACTCCACGGTACATAACAACAACAACAACAGCAACAAAAAGGTTACATGCAAAGTTGTTGATTCAAACCCACTAGCTGCTCCTCAGAAACCCTGTACAGGATCACTATGAGACTGAACCAGTTTGATGGCACTTAACCACTTAATACTTCCAAGTATTTCTTTCATATTATATACTAAATTATGGTTTTGAAAATGGTTTTAGAATGTGAAGAAAATTAAATTCTTCTTTGTTTAAATCGGAGTCCTGGTGTGGTGCTGTGGGTTAATGTACTGGACTGCAAAGTCCGTTTGAACTGCAAGGTCAGTGGTTCAAGCTCACCAGCTGCTCCTTTGAAATCCTGTAAGGGTCACTATGCATCAGAACCAACTTGATAGCACTTAACAACAACACATTTAAATCAGCAATCCTGGTATGGCACTGTAGGATAAGTACTGGACCGCAAAGTTGGTTTGAACCACAATGTTGTTGGTTCACACTTAACCAGCTGCTCGTCAGAAACCCAATATGTGTCACTGTGAAACAGAATCAACTCAATGGCACATAACAGCAATAATCTCTTATGTATTACATGTATTAATTGTCCTCCAGTTGGTTTCCAACTCATAGCGACCCTATATAGTGTTTCCAAGACTGTAAGTCTTCATAGGAGCAGAAAGTTTTATCTTTCTCCTGTGAAGCATCTGGTGGGCTTGAACTGCATACTTTAGACCATGTGGTTTGCAGTCCAGTGCTTATTGTATAGAGCCACCATGCTCCCCACATAAAGAGATTCATGATATTAAAATATTGGCAGATATTAGGAAAGGAGCCCTGGTGTGGTGCTGTGGGTTAATGCGCTGGACTGCAGAGTTGGTTTGATCTACTAGGTTGGCAATTCCAGCTCACCAGCTGCTCCTCAGGGTTGCTCTGGGTTGGAACCCACTCAATGGCGCTTAACAACACACAACAATTAGAAGAAGTCTGAAATGATTTTTTTGGGGAGTGATGATTTAAAAAGATTTAATTTAGTAGTTATGTTCCAGGTCCCTTTTTTATTTGGGGCCATTAAGAGTTTTGTTATGATTTGTGATTTCTCTAGCTACTAATGGTACTGTGTCATAGGATGGATCATTTATTTGTCCTGGTGTGGCATTGTAGGGTCAGCACCGGACTGTGAACCACAAGACTGGCATTTCAAACCCACTAGCTGCTCCTCGGAAAAACCTCTACAGGGTCACTATGAGTTGGAACTGACTCAGCAGCACACAACATCACTTACAGAAATTCTGGGCTGTTCCTAACCTCATAAAAATAGTCTTACATATTTTCTTCAAGGAGCTCTGGTAGCATAGTGGTTACAAGTTGGGCTGCTAACCTGAAGGTCAGCAGTTCGAAACTACCAGCTGTTCCATAGGATAAAGATGAAGCTTTCTGCTCCCATAAAGATTTACAGTCTCGGAAGCCCCATACAGAGTTGCTGAGTCGGAACTGACTCCTCGACATATATCTTCTATTGTTATGTTAAAATTTTAATGGTATTTGGTGTATCTTCATAAGACTTCAAAAGTCTATTTAACCTGTTTCCAAATGACTGACCATTTTTCTAACTAATGATATGACTCAGTCCTTTTTACACTCCCTTAAAATGCTATTTTATGTGTAGACAAGGAACCATGGTGGCACAGTGATTGAGCTGTGAGCTGCTAACTGAAAGGTTAGTTGTTTGAACCACACCCAGCGGCTCCAGAAGAGAAAAGACTGGTAATCTGCTCCAGTAAAGGTGATAGCTTAGAAGACCCCAGGAAGCAGATGGAACTCTGTCTCATGGGGTGACTCAAAAATGGAATGAACAACACCTAGCAACAACATACGTGTATACACACCCACACATCCCTGCTTGTATGGATCTGTTTATTGTTGTGTCCATTCTGTTTATTTATAGTTCTACACCAGAGCCTCACCTTTTTAATTAATAAAGTTTAATAGTATATTTTGGTATCTGTTATGACATCTCAGTCTTTGCTAACATTTCTTGGTTTCTTCATACATACTCTTTTTTTTTTTTTTTCCCAGATGAACTTGAGAATCAAATTGTCAGGTTCTTTTAAAACTCCTGTTTGAAATTTGAGTGTAATTGAATTAGAAGCTGTGAATTAATTTTAGGAGCATTAACATCTTTGAATTAATAAACCTATTGAGGATAGAAGGAAGGTTGTTATTGTGAGTGGGACTTTTTTTACACCCTAAGTTTTTTTAACTGTTCATTGCTAGTATATCAAAGTGATATTTGTATTGGAGCTAGCCACATTGCTGAGTTTTTCATATTTTTTGTTTTTCAGTTGATTATCAAATTTTTAAAAGATATTCTCATTCTATCTGCATGAAGCTATAGTTTTCTCTTTATGTGGTGTCCTGATGTGGCACTGTAGGGTAAACACTGGACTGCTAACTGCAAGGTTGGTCGTTCAAAACCACCAGCCATTCCTTGGAAAGGCTATGCAGGGTCACTGTGAATCAGAACTGACTCAACAGCATTTAACAACAGCAACAGTATTTTTATATGCTTTAAATCTTTCTTTTACTAAGTTTTCTGTAACATTAACATGGACTCCTGATGTGGCACTGTAGGATCAGCACTGGACTGTGAACCACAAGGTTGGCAGTTCAAGCCCACCAACTGCTCCTCAGAAACTACAACAACGTGATGTAACATCAGAATTAAGCATCATAACTTATTCCTTATGTTGTTATGAAGTGCCATTGAGTCAGTTCCGACTCATAGCGACCCTGTATAGCATAGGATGCCACCTATGTTTATGCATTAATTGATAATGTGATGGTGGCTTCTGATTTAAAAATCACTTTATCACATTTGGGAAGTTTTTTTTTCTATTTCCAGTGTCCCAAGTTGTTGTTTGTTTATTTGTTTGTTTAAATCAGGAGAGTGTTGAGTTTTATAAAATAGTTTTTCAATGTCAAATGATTTTTGTGTTTTGATAGTAATCAGAAGGGAAACCTGAATAAAAGTATATATATATGTAGAGTGGAAGGGGCTAGGAAGATGAGAAAACTTTGAATCTTAGAAAGTGCAGACGTTGTTAGGTAGGAAGTTTCAGGCTAAACTTGTAATATGGAAGTATGAGAGTGTGCTTAGCCTTTGAAAAATAATTAGGGTACAGTACAACCAGGGGTTGTGAGAAGGGGTGATGGGGGCTAGATCATGAAGGCCCTTGTTTGTCTTGGTAAAGAATTGCGATTTTATCCTGAGGCCCAATGGCAAGTCATTAGAGAGTCAGTGTTAAAAAAAAA